CCCATGTACAATAAATATTACTTTAATTATTTAGATCTAACTTTGTATAAGAGGTGTTTTGTGTTTATATTTATATAGTGTCTGTGTCTGTTTTAGCAGGTATGCTCTCATTTTTTTATACTGCCTAGTTATTTTATGTGGTCTAAAACTATTGGCTGACACACAGTGTAATTTTCCTATTTTTCTCTTTTGCTTAAATCTGATTTTAGTTCTAACTTTGTCTGAAATCATGATTACTATCCCTGTTTTTTTACATAATAAATTCTGCTCTTCATGTAGTTTTGTTTTTAGTTTATCCATCAATGTATAATGTCTTGGATAGGAGCTTCAAGAGGACAATCAGCTATGTTTAGAATTGAGTAGAAGGAAGGGAACTTTCTGAGTCACATTTTGGAAAATATCCAACAGATACTGCAAAAGCCCGTGTTTTAAATGCCTAGAGTATCAATTCTCTGTGACTTAGAACCATAGAATATTCTCAAATGCATCACAATTTTTAGCAACCCAAAGGGCCGGGGAAAGATATATTAGGTTCAGCATATTGCCCAGTTGTTACATGTGTAAGAAATGCATGAAAGACATGAATAACAAGAAAGGAGAACTCATTAGGTAACAAGAATGAAGGATAAGAAATGGCTTGCCCAAGTCTTACCCTGATACCTGTAGAATATTAAAAGAATTAAACAAAGACCTCCAATATTTCATATGAATCCTCCCTGGAGGATTTTTGGGAAGACATGAACAAGAATACCACATGATGAGAAAGTGCAGTCTATATTAATGAAGAAAATGTCCACTCTGGTCTGATTCTTCATCAAAGAAATATTTCGTGCACATGGCTAAAACTATTCAGAGCTTCCATAAGACCGTTTTAACTATGAGCCAATGGAAAGCTAAATTTTATGAATAAATTTAATTTTTACATACTGTTCTTCTCCCTTGCAGTCATAGTATAATTATACTTATGGACTGTATATCTCTTCCTTTAAAGATTATAATTAATGTCCTATACTAAACAGCATTAGCTCTAAATCCACTAATAAAGGAGTGCAAGACTATTAACTAATCTTCAATACCACAGCTTAAGCAGTATTATGCATATGGAAAATGGTAAGAATTCTTTCATTAAACGGCCTTGGAAATCTACAAATGGATTATTTATATTCATTTATCTTTTATTATCTCCAGTGATCAGATTGTCAGAAGACTTACGTACATCATTTTCGAAATTTTAGTAATCATTTTGGTGATAATTCCGAATATAATATAAGAATAACACTAGAGAAAGATTGTATCCATTTTAGCAAATTAATGTCTGAATGAACAGACATGTGGGGGGAAAAAAGCACGTGAGGGGAGTGAAGGACTTAGATGTAAAGCGTGATCTATAAAAACAATTTATTCCATGTGGAAATTTCAATAACATGAAAGTTGTTAAAAAGGAAAGGACTAGATGTCTCATGTTTTTATTAAGTGTGAGTAATTGTAAAAATTAAAAATAATAAATTTTATCAAATATGAGTAATTTATAGTACTAACAGTCAATATGCTACCAGTGTATGCCATTTACTTTGGGGTCATTCTTTAATTTACCACTAAACTCTATCTCTGAAGAATTAAAAAGGGATGAGTTAATTTCTAGGAAACCAAATGACTCATTGTAAGAGATAAAGGTTCATCCTTTAAAATATTATATTGCCAATTCATGAAATGGCATAGGGTAGTAGAGAGGCAATGTGATATAGAAGAAAAGGTATTGAATTTGTGGTCAGAGATACTGAGTTTGTATTTCCCCTTTGCTGTCTACTAACTTTGTGACTTTGGACGGGTCACTGTACTTATTTGGACCTCAGTTTCCTTATCTGCAAAATGGAAATATTGGATTAGGTGGTCTCCAATGTTTTTTCCAGGTTTAAATCTTTGATCCCTTAATTGGCAGTATTATAGCCTTCATTCATAAGGCTGCTGTGTCATCTCTGGGGTCACAATGGCTTTGTTCTGGAGCACTCACTAACTAGAACTCGTGTAATCAACGTTTATATGTTGAGCTCCTGGTCTATGCCTAGCACTGTGTTAGGCACGATGGAGGATACAAAAATTGAATTGTGCCTGGATTCTACTCATAAGGAACAAGTTTTGGAGGCAAGAGTCATACACGTGAAACATTTATAACAATTAAGTGCTGCCCTAGGGCTACATTTAGTAAGGTAAAACCCAAGCTATTTCCACTCCCAGAGGGGTTTCAGAATTGTTATCAACTTGGTCCTTTTCTTTTTAAAAGAAAGAGGTACTAGCAGGCTATCCAAGACTTACCTTTTATGGAGCCTGCCTACTGGCTGAGTCCTATCAATTTGTCCATTCCCACTTCCATCACCTTAAGTCAAACCAAATTAGTCTATACATTGCTACTCATTCTCACCTTGCCTTCTCCCCTCAACATGCTTTGCTCAACTTGTGCCCCATACATGTTATGGACCCCTTTTACTCTATCCCTATGCCCACACAGGGGCATCTAGGTGATGAAGTAGATAGAGCACCAGACCTGAAGTCAGGAAGACTTATCTTCCTAAGTTCAAATCCAGCCTTAGATACTTACTAGTTATGTGATCCTGGGCAAGTCACTTAACCTTGTTGTTTGCCTTGTTTGTAAAGAAAAAAAAAAGAGCTGGAGAAGGAAATGGCAAACCACTCCAGTATCTTTGCCAAGAAAACCCCAAATGGGGTCACAAAGAGTTGGACACAACTAAAACAATTGAATAACAATGACAAAATGCCCACATGGATCTGCCTGAAATAATTTCCTTCCTTCAAGGCTCAATCCAAATCTCATTTCTCCCATGAAGCCTTCCCTAGCTAGAAGTGATCTTTCATTCTTACAATTTCTTATAACACTTTGTGGGGACCTCTCTTTTACACTTATTACCTAATTTGTCATACAATTCTTTACATATTTACATACCAGATTATAAACCAGAACTTTGATTCCTTCCTTATATAGTTCTACTGCTTAGTACAAGGTCCTGGGTTTTATATAGTAGGTACTCAGTAAATGTTGGCTTGAATTGAATCACCTTGGTACAGCCCTTCTCTTGAGAGTATTTAGCCATAAGTTAGTGAGATAGAAACAGCTTTCTTTTGCTTTTTTAAATATTTTTCTCCAACTTCTCCCAGGATACTGCCTTACTTCACCCCTCTGTCCAAGTGAACTGTGCCACTAATGTATGTGGGTTCTGATTTTCAAAGATTGTGTTTACAAAGTTTCATTTACCCTAATTAATTTGCCCATTTACATTTATGCATTTGTATGTTTGTACAAAATCCATAGTTGCTGTATTTGGGGACTCATGCATGGGAACCAGCCTTAACAGTCATAGAGACACATGGCCCTTATAATTTTGATGGAATGCCTCCAGAAGCCTTATTCCTCTGGTCTAACAGCATATAAACAACCCTTGTTGTTCAAGTTGTTTTTACGTTGTGTTTTCCTTTGGCTTACCTTATTGATCTCTGACATGTCATCATGTAAATACACCTAGGTCCTTTATAGATCTATCAACTGATCATTCGTAATTTTACATTCCAGTTTCATTCCTGCTTAACATAAAAATAATTTTAACTTGATATTGCAATTACTGTTGACTCATCAGTATAAAATCAATTTTAGTTAACTTGATTTATACATTTCTATATAACCACAGTTACCGCTTTTAAGTAACTCATGCAGGGGAGTTTTTTGAGAAGCCCAATAAGATAGGTCACCCTCTGTTAAGGTATATCATACTTATGGATTAATCAGTTATCAGCTTTTAGTCCTCTCCAGCTCCACCCCAGAGTCCTATTGTATACATTGTTGCTGGTACTATTTAACAAAAAGTTAGTTGACTTGATTACCAAATATTATATTGTAATCAAGTGGTTCAGCCCAGTGATGTCAAATTAAAATAAGAAACAAGGGCCACAAATGCATATATAATGATCCCTGTAGGCCATATATTGACTTAGAAAATCATATATTAACATTATCTATGTTTTATCATATTTTTAAATTTTTGTTAAGTATTTCCCAAGTATATTTCAATCTGGTTTGAGCATACCTGGGACTGTTGTGGGCCATATAATGCTCTCTGTCTGCATGTTTTGACACTTCTGGTTTAGATAACCATAAAGCCTAAAATACACCTTAACTAATGAAAACATTGACTGTCATTGCCATTCTTTTGCCTCCCTGAAGGAATAATGTTCAGAGGATAGTTCCTGGTCAATAGGAGAGAGAAAATGAGAGATAAAATAAGGAGTAGGGTACAAAAGAATTGCTACGTTGATCTATCATCTGCTTGTCAAGCTAATGTTTCTCAAAATCATTGCAGTACTGCCAAGTAATAGATCTGCACAATGTATTGTGTATTTATTACACTTCAGAATTTACTCAAATTGCCTAGTTTCAGCATTCAAAATTCAGATCACTGCAGAGTAATTGTGGTTTGGGGAAATGAGTTAAATAAAATATTTTAATGTACTCTTCCCCAAGACCTTGAAATGATTACATTTCTCATTTTAATTCTTTGAACAGTATTGCTTATGCATCACATTTAATTAGAACCTTGTGTATTATGTCAAATAGAATATTTTGTTACAGAATAAATGCAGAAGTGATTAGTTACCTTCAAAAAGAAAGGGAAATGATTTAAATAGCAACTCGCCAAGCTGAATTTTAGAATTTTTTTTTAAGTAAAAGGAATTGCCTTTTAATTTGAGAAAAGTCTTTCCAAGGGGTCATTTGATTTTCATGTGAAGTATGTCCAAACTAAACCAAATGAGATCAAATGTCTAAGAAAAAATATAATACCTTTGGGGAAAATTTTAATACTATGCATGGATTTTTTTAAATTTCCCAATTTTCTACTAGTGGTAGAAATTTGTTTTTAAATGTGTTTTTTAGCAAAAATGAGAGGAATTTTTTCTAGAAATTTAATTCTTAATTTCCCTTTTGAAATTTGCAGAGATCTACTGCAAACATTGACTGAAGAAGAACTACACACACTTGAACGGAATCTTTGCATATCCCAAGATATGGAGTTCTCTGTCAGAACAGATCCTGAAGTGCCCTCTGTCATTGCGCCCACTTTAGCTGCAACTTTCCCTCCTGAGCAGCTTTCTGTCACAGCAGAAAATACAGAGGCCGAATTAGCCTGCTCAATGCAATATGATGAACAGGAGCTGGAACAGCTCAATCAGATGGTTCACAGGGTAGGAGATGAAATGTCCTCTCTCCTTTCCCCACCCAGTGTGTGCCAGTCACCAGCACACAGAGCTGGCCTAAGAAACAACTCGAGCACAGAGGCCTCACCAAGAAGGTCAAATCTTGAGCATTTAAATGATGATGAGGACAGAGTCTTTTTTATGGATGATCTTGATGGAATAGGAGAATCCCTTTCTAGGCCAGAGTCAGGTAGTGAAACTTTGGTTTGGGTCAACAGCACTTGTCAGGATCTGCCAAAGGAAAGGGACACTCAGAATTCAGAGAGCAGGGAAGCAGGAAATGGTTTACTCACAGAAGAAATGGAAAGTGATTTGAGCAATAACAATAATATTGAAGAAAGCAAAATGCAGAAAATTGGGCTCTCCATCCAGAATTCTTGCAGTTGTTTAGATACACAGTTATACCTCAATGGCTGGGATATGAATGCTGAGGATGCAGAAACAGCAGAAATAATAGCCCATCGGACTGGTGGAATGAAGATCTCTGCTACTGTCATATTTAATCCTAAATCTCCTACTTCTTCTGATTCACCTGTAAGTACACCAGAGGTACCGAGTGATTGTGTTACTGTACCCAACTCAAGAGCCAACGAAGAGGAAAATGAATCCCATCAGCTCAGCATTGCCGCCACCAACTGTCTCATTAATTCGTGTGTGTGTTGTGGTAGCTGTGAGGACAACAGGGAGGATAATGTAGAAAGATTAAAGACTAAATGTGCTCCAGGAAAAGTTATAAAAAATGCCTCTTATAGTCTAGTCAAGTCTAAAGAAAAGGACCACATAGATAGGTCGGCTAATTCAGCATCCGCTCCAGAGACACTAAAAACTGAAACTGTCCCTACAGACAGAGACTGTGACCAGCCAGAACCTAAACGCTCTCATTCCTCCAAGTGCCTGGCACAGAACTCAGGTTCACAAGTGGAAAGCGATGATGGGCCACGCGTCGAAGGGGATGTGTCAAGTCAGCAGAAACAGCATGAAAAAAGAAGACAGCCAAGTGAAAAGCAGTCAGAGACCAGAAAGCAAAGTAGAAGCAAAAGGACAGGCAAAGAAGGAGTAAAAGCAAGGCCTAGTTCCAGGTAAGATCCTCTGCCAAATTCATATTCTTTTGTGCTGAAAAGAGTGCTGAGTTTTATGACTTTATTATTTTCTGATTTTGACTCAACATTCAGTGCATATATATATATATATCTCAAACTAATAAAGTACTTCAGATTGAAAGAATGGTGACTTTTTAATTATACTATCAGATCTGCTGTTTGTATTTTTTAAATAGTAGTTTTTTCCCTCAGTTACATATCAAGAAAATTTTTAACATTCATTTTTACAAGATTTTGAGTTCCAGATTTTTCTTCCTCCCTCCCTCTGTCCCCTTTCCTTTTCCTAAAAGGGTAGGCAATTTGATATAGATTATACATGTGCTATCATGTAAAACATATTTCCATATTAGTCTCAATTGTATAAGAAGAAACAGATCAAAAGGGAAAAAACAAAAATGAATGAAGTAAGTGAGAAAAATATGCTTCAGTCTGCATTTAGAGTCTATCTTTAACTGGACATGGATAGCATTTTCCTTCTTGAGTCCTTTGTATTTGCCTTGGATCATTGTGTTGCTGAGAAGAGCTGAGTCATGCAGTTAATCATCACACAGTACTACTGATACTATATATAATGTTCTCCTGGTTCTGCTCATTCCACTCGGCATCAGTTTGTACAAGTCTTTCCAGGATTTTCCGAAATCTGCCTGTTCATCATTTCTTATTGCACAAGAGTATTCCATTACATTCACATACCACAGCTTGTTCAGCCATTCCCCATTTGATTGGCATCCCCTCAATTTCCAATATTTTGCCGCCATGAAAAGGGCTGCTTACAAATATTTTTGTACATGTAGGTCCTTTTCCTTTTTTTATGATGTCTGTGGGATACAGACCTAGTAGTAGTATTGCTGGGTCAAAGGGTATGTACAGTTTCATAATCCTAAATATAGACTGTAGTTTATAGTCCTATAGATCCAAATTGCTCTCTAGAATTTTTGGCTCAATTCACAACTCCACCAACAGTGCATTAGTATCCCAGTTTTCCCACATCCTCTCCAGTGTTTATCATTTTCCTTTTTTTTTGGCATGTTAGCCAACTGAGAGGTGTGAGGTGGTACCTGTTCATATTCTTTAACTATTGATTGGGGAATGGCTTATATTCTTATAAATCGAGACTCAGTTCTCTATATGAAATGAAACCTTTTTCAGAGATACTTACTGTAAAGATTATTTCCCAGCTTTCTGCCTTCCTTCTAATCTGGTTGCATTGATTTTGTTCATGCAAAATCTTTTTAATTTAATATAATCAAAATTATCTTTTTTATATTTTGTAAATGTAGCATCCAAATTCTTAAAGGAGAAGTTAAGTGAGTTATAGGTTCATGACCAAAAGAGATAAAAAGCATTTCTTGTTTGCTTATGAACCTGTAACTCACTTAACTTCTCCTTTAAGAATTTGGATGCTATACCACTTAGTGCATATATGTTTAGTGTTGATATTACTTCATTGTCTATGGTACCTTTTAGCAAGATATCGTTTCCTTCCTTATCTCATTTAATTGGGTCTGGTTCTGCTTTTGCTTTGTCTGATATCAGGATTGCTACCTCTGCTTTTTTTACTTCACCTGAAGCATAATAGATTCTGCTCTAGTCCCTTACCTTTACTTTGTGTATGTCTGTCTATTTCAAGTGTGTTTCTTATAAACAACATATTGTCGGATTCTGTTTATCCTCTATGCTATCCACTCCCATTTTATGGGAGAGTTCATCCCATTCACATTCACAGTTATAATTACTAACTGTGTGTTTCCCTCCATCCTATTTTTCTTCCTGTTTGTCCTCTCTCCTTTCACCCTTTCCCTCCTCACCAGCGTTTTGCTTGTCTGATGCCTCCCCTTGTCTGCACTCTCTTCTATCAGTCTCCCCCCTCCCTTTACATAATTTTTTCCCCTTCTACTTTCTTGTCAGATGACAGATTTCTGTATTCAACTGATTGTGTATGTTATTCCCTTTTTGAGCCAATACTAATGAAAATAAGGTTCAAGTGATTCCCATCACCCACCCTCCCATCTTTCCCTCCACTGTAATAGGTTTTTTGCACTTCGTGTGAAATAATTTGCCCTGTTCTTCCCTTCTTTCTGCACTCAGTGTACTCCTCTTTCTCATCTCTTAATTTTTTTTTTTGGTTATTCCCTCAAATTCACCTTATACCCATACCCTCTGTCAATGTATATTCCTTCTAGCTATGGTATTAGTGGTAAAATTTTTAAGAATTACCAATATCATCTTTCCATGTAGGAATGTAAACAGTTGAGCTTCATTGAATCCCTTATGTTTTCTTTTCCCCTTTTTAGGCTTCTCTTGGGTCTTGATATTGGAGATCAAATTTTTTGTTCAATTCTGGTCTTCTCCTTATGAAAACTTGAAATCCTTATATTTCATTAAATGATCATTTTTTCCCTTGAAGTATTATGCTTAATTTCACTGGATAAGTGATTCTCAATTGCAGTCTTCTCTCCTTCCAGAATATCATGTTCTGTGACCTCTGATCTTTTCATGTTGCTGCTGCCAAATCCTGTGTAGTCCTGATTGTTGTTTCCTAATATTTAAATTGTTTCTTTCTGGCCCACTGTGGAATTTTTTCCTTGACCTGATAGTTTTGTAATTTGGCTATAATGTTCTTTGGGGTTTTTATTTTGGGTTCTCTTTCCTGAGGTGGAGTCTTTCAATACCTATTTTGCCCTCTGGTTCCAGGATAACAGAGCAATTTTCCTTGATAATTTCTTGAAAGATGCTCTCCAGGTCGACCTTTTGATTACAGCTTTCAAATAGTCCAGTGATTCTGACATTGTCTCTCCTGGATCTATTTTCCAAGTTAGTTGTTTTTCCCATGAGGTATTTTATATTTTCCTCTTTTTTTCATTCTTTTGAATTTGTTTGATTCATTCTTGCAGTCTCATAGAGTCATTAGCTTCCATTTGCCCAATTCTAACTTATAAGGAGTTGTTTTCCTCAGTTAACTTTTGCACTTCCTTTTCCATTTGGTCAGTTGTAAGGAGTTGTTTTCTTCAATGGATTTTTGTATCTCCTTTTCCATTTGGCTAATTCCCTTTTTTAAGCAGCTGTTTTTTTCCAGACTGCTGACTCATTTTTCATAATTCTCTTGCATCACTTTCATTTATTTTCCCAATTTTTCTTCCACCCCTCTTCCATGATTTTTAAGCTCTTTTTTGAGTTCTTCCAGGAGTTCTTTCTGGGCTTGAGACCACTTCCCATTTTTTCTTTGGGGTTTTGCCCATAGGTGCTTTGACATTGTTGTCCTTTTCTGAGTTTGTGTCTTGATCTTCGCTGTCACCATAATAACTTTCTGTGGTCAGATTCTTTTTGTTGTTGTTGTGTTTGCTCATCTTTTTTGACCTTTATCCTTTCTTTTAAATTTGAGCTTTGCTCCCTGGGTGGAAGGGTCACTGTCTCAGGCTTCTTGTGCTAGGGGCTGTAGGCCTTGGCTGTTTACCTTGTGCTGTACTGATGTTGCCCTGAGTCCCATGAGGGACCCTCATGTCTGGTGCTGTACGGGTGGAGTTGGAGAAAGTGGATGGTACTGCTGGAGGCTGTAGGGATCTGGCAGCTTAGCTGTTTTTGAGCCAGGGTCCAAGTGCTGGTGTCAGGTGTATTCTGAGGCCGGTGGGATGTTTCTATGTTTCTAGGCTACACTGAAGCACTTGGTGGTCTGGCCACTGGAGGCTGCCTGTTTGCCCTGGGCTACACTGAAGCATGTGACAGGGCTGCCTGTTTGCTTAGGCACCAGTATGGTTAGCACCTACATTTTTGCCTGGGGCTTCGCTGAAGCACATGACCAATGGATGTTGCCTGTTTGCTCAAGGATATACTGAAGCATATGGCAGTTCTCAGAGCTGGAGTCTGCCCATGCCCCTGCCTATGCTGAGATATGTTGGGAGTGGAGAATTGGTGTTGATGTTTGCCTACAGGATCTCCCACTGGGCTTGATGCTGGCTTGCTGGGGTGCTTCCTGTCTTGGACTGCGCTCCCCTTTTACCTGAGTGAGAGACCTTTCTTGCTAATCTTCCACGTTTATTGGGCTAAAAAATTGTTTTGCCCTGTCTTTTTCCTGGGTTTGCTGTTTCAGGATTTGTTTGGGGGCTCTATTTTGTGGTTGTTTGGAGGTGATTATGGGAGAGTTATGGTGATTTACTGCTTACTCTGCCATCTTGGCTTCCAGAAGTCCTGTTAAGTATTAGGATCTTAATAAATGCTTGTTTTCTTCTTCTATTTGTATATTTTTATGGTAGCTATGGAATGCAAATGAGTTTGAAATTGCTTTGAAAACTAGTTTACACTACTTCCATGCTATGAAACTAATAGTATTTGCGTTAGAATGTAAGCTTCTTGAGGGCAAGTATGTTTTCATTTTTGTCTTTGTATCCCCAGCACCTAACATCATGCCAGGCACATAGTAGGCACCCTCTAAATGCTTATTGAATGGAATTTGCATAAAGAATTCTCCAATAAGACTATAACATGTTTTATTTCCACTTGATATTGAAAGTGCTTAGCATATTATGTTATTACTGTGTACATTACAGAATCTTATATCAGTATTTTATAATATTTGTACTGCCAAGTGGTATAATTCAGAGCTTCTTAAATTTTTCCACTTGCAACCCCTTTGGTGCTTCATAAACTGTGGGTCATGACCCATAGTTTAAGAAGCAGTGTATTTGATTCTAGGTAGGAATGCTAAAAATTTGCCTTTAGAAACATGTTTCTATATTTAGAAAATCTATATCTATTTCTATATCTAGAAAATCATGTTTCAATATTTATTTTTATTACCCATTTTAAAAAGTCTAAATTTTCAATTCATTACCAAAATGGTGCTGCTAATATAATTTTATTAATTGTTCTCATAGAATCAACAAATGTTTTGTAGTAATTTAATCTGGGACTAATTATACTAAATATTATGTTCACACATTTGCCTTTAGCTGTTCTTCAGTCTTTTCATTTACATTATTTTA